GCGGGGACCCACTGCCACCCATGGGAATGTGGCCGAGCCGGACCTTCCAGCTCAGCTGACCCTCCAGCAGAACGTCACGGCAGGAGGGAGCCTGGGGTCGGCCAGGAGAACCCAGCTAATTGCCCAGCGCCAGCACCAGAAATGATGGTGTTTCAACCATTTCGGCGTCAAGATGACACGGCCCGAGGAGCAGATCACTGCACAGAAACAGACACACACACACCCCAAACCCAACAAAAGTTGGATTCCCCCAAATGTTGTCAGACAGCAGCCGGATGGTTACAGACACGAAGCTGGGGTCCCCGGTAGGACACACGGAGGACGCTACAGACCACGCTGCAGAGGCGCTGGAGGCCCGGGGATGTGCCTGTGGGAGCCGATGAGGAGCGCAGAGCCGCGGGAAGCATCCTACAGAGGGGGGCCCCTCCTAGGAAAAGACGCCGGGGCCCTGCGAAGGCTCTGGATACTGACATCTGTCCTCCTCTCTTTCAGCTTCTGGTTTTCCCCCTATTCTGTTCTTCCTCATTCTCCTTCGGCCTCCACCCTGCATCTGAGCCACTGACCACACGGGCTTCGTTACGACGTCGGGTCCTAAAAGGAGGCTGAGCTCTGGCTCCCAGGATCGGGAAGGATCATCGCCGAGGTTTGTGCTGATCCACCGAACTTGTGCCTTTGCAGCTCTTCTCTCCCTGCAGAACGAGGGGAAACACAGGCCTTACAGGGAAGGAAGCCCACTCCCACTCGGGCGGGACCGTCCCTCGTGGAGGACGTCATCTGGACCAAGGAGTGCAGCAGGGGCGTTCAAGAACAGGTCACAGGTTAGACATAGTCCGGTTTGAGGTTTTTCCTGAAGCAAGCACTTACCTTCGATGTCATGCTTTATTAGTTCATCCATTTATTATTTGTTAAATATTTTATTTTTATGTCCTCTCTACACCCAACATGGAGTTCAAACTCACAATCCTGAGATCAAGATCCCCCCACCAGGCCAGCCAGGCACCCCAGTGCCATGTTTCTTATCTCTTTGCTGGCTCACCTATCTCTGCATCCAACTGGGACATCGAGTCCATGACGGGGGAGCTTTAGCTACCTCCGAATCCTAGAACATTCTCGCTGTATCCCAATCCTAGAACGACCTTCGCCATTGAATAGCACTTTAAATCAATCATCAGTCAAATGACTCCTGGTAAAGGAAATGGCCAACTTTTCATGTGTGTAGGCCCCGCTCCCTGTTTATAGCAGCAATGTCCACAATAGCCACACTGCGGAAGGAGCCTCGGTGTCCATCGAAAGATGATGGATAGAGAAGCTGTGGTCTATGTATACAATGGGAATATTCCTCATCCATTAGAAACGACAAATACCCACCATTTGCTTCGACGTGGATGGAACTGGAGAGTATTATGCTAAGTGAAATAAGTCAATCAGAGATGAACAATCATCATATGGTGTCACTCATACAGGGAATATAATAGTGAAAGGGATTATAGGGGAAAGGAGGGAAAGTGAGGAGGGAAAAATTAGAGGGAGACAAATCAGGAGAGACACCTAACTCTGGGAAATGAACAAAGGGTAGTGGAAGGGGAGGCAGGTGGGAAAGGGTGACTGGGTAACAGGCACTGAGTGGGGCACTGGCCGGGATGAGCACTGGGTGTTATATGCTGGCAAATTGAACTCTGATAAAAATATACATAAAAAATGAAAATAAAAAGGGTGCAGATAAATAAAAATAGAAAATAATAAACAATTAAGAAAATCAATGAAACCAAAATTGAAAAGATTAACAAAATGTTCCATTGACAACATTTAGATACACTAAGAAAAAAAGAGAGATGATGCAAATAACTAAGAACAGAAATAAAAGTGGGGACATTACTACCAATCTTACATAAATAAAAAAGATTATAATAGAATAATATGAACAATTAATTATAAGCAAACAAATTAGGAAACCTAGATGAAATGAGAAAATTTCTGAAACTTATGAATTACCAAAACTAACAGAAGAAGAAACAGAATTATTTCAACAGCCCTATAACAAGTAGAGACTGAATCAGCAATCACAAGCCTCCCAGCAAAGTCTAGGAGCAAGTAGCTTTATTGGTGAATTTTACCAAATATTTTTAAAAATTAACACCTATCTTTCACAATCACCTAGAAAAAAATAGGAGATGAGGAAACAATTCCTAACTTGTTCTATTTGGCGAGCATTAGTCTAATGCCAGGAGCCAAAAACACCACAGAAAAGGAAACTATAGGTCAATATTCCTTATTAATGTAGAAATTAAAATCCTCAAAAAATAGTAACAAACCAAATTTTATAGCATACTAGCATACTAAAAGGATTATACACTATAACCAAGTGGTTTATCCCAGAAATGCAGGAGTGTTTCAAAATATGAAAATCAATGTTGTAATACACCACATTAATATAATTAAGCAAAACCCCACACAATCATCTCAACTGACACAGCAAATTCATTTGACAAAATCCAACATCTTTCATGATTAAAACACTCACCAAACTAATTATAGAAAGGAATTTCCTCAATAAGATAAAAGGAATTCATGAAAAACCACAGCTAACATCATAATAGTGAAGGACTGATCCCCCTAAGATCAGGAATAAAACAAGAATGTCCACTTTCATCATTGCTATTCAGCCTTGTATTGGTAGTTCTAGTCAGACCAATTAGGCAAGAGAAGGAAACAAAAAATACACAAACTGGAAAAGAAGTAGTAAATATTCATAGATAACATGATCCGATAAATTAAAAAATCCTAAGGAATACACAATAAAGAACTATTAGAGCTATAAATGAATTCAGCGAAGTTGTAGGATGTAATACCAATACACAAAAATCAGTTTTTATTTCTAAACACTAGCAATTGAGAGAGGATAAGTAGTCAGTGCTTAATGGTAAAGGCTTTCCTTTTGCGGTGACAAAAATTTTCATGATAGATACAGAGAGTGATAGTTGTACATTGTGAATATATTAAATGTCACTACCAACAACTTTATGTTATGTAAAGGTCACCACAATTTAAAAAAATAACTCTGGTGCCTAGGTGACAATTGCAGACCAAATACATCAGAATCTCTGGGGGTTGGATCAGGTTTCATTATTTTCTAAAGTAACCCTTAGTTACTTTCTAAAGTAACTTAGCTACTTCTGTATAGCTAAGATTAACTACTTGTTTACATATAATAAAGACAATTTAGTAAGTGGTTGATATAAATAGAAGATCCTTTGGGAATATGACTGCCATAAAGTATTTCGCAATGCCAGGTACTTAAAACTATAATGTTTTGTTTAAGTTCTTTTTTATGGGAATAGGACTTCAGAGTCTACTTAAGAGCTTTGTTGCATAGCTGTCGTTAAAATGTGCAATTTTTAGCTTTATGAAGTTATTCCCTATTGCCCACTCTCTCAACTTGAGATCTGAGAGTTCAATTGTAGTCTTTAAATTTTGAGATGCCATTTTGATAATCTGAGAAAAAAAATCAGTACAGCAACAAAAGTTTTCTTTTATAATGAAACTTCCCAATTGATTTACATCTCCAATCTGTAAAAAAAAAAAAAAATAATAATCTTACCTCTGTTTCCTGTCTTCATGAACGCCCTCCATCTCCCTTCCAGCTATCATGTTTCTTCCTTTCTCCATTCACCAAAACTCTGAAGGAGTCCTACTGTCTCTAATTGTACTCCTCTATCCTCTCCCGAACCCACTCCAATCCCATTTTCAATCCCATCACTGCATCAAAACTGCTATCAAAGCCCCCAGTGATTTCCATACTGCTCAGGACAGCAGTCAGTTGTCTTCCAGTTATTTAATCAGTCACAGCTGACAGAAGGATCGATCCCACCTCCTTCTTCCTTTGACTTTTTTTTTAATAAATTTATTTTTTATTGGTGTTCAATTTACCAACATACAGAATAACACCCAGTGCTCATCCCGTCAAGTGCCCTCCTCAGGGCCCGTCACCCATTCACCCCCACCCCCCGCCCTCCTCCCCCTACACCACCCCTAGTTCGTTTCCCAGAGTTAGGTTCTGTCTCCCTTTCTGATATTTCCCACACATTTCTTCTCCCTTCCCTTATATTCCCTTTCACTATTATTTATATTCCCCAAATGAATGAGAACATACACTGTTTGTCCTTCTCCGATTGACTTACTTCACTCAGCATAATACCCTTTGACTTTTTTTGATGGCATATATCCTCCTGTTTTCCTTCTTAAGCTGCCCAATCATTTGCGGGTTTTTTCTTCACCTTCCCGATGCCTCAGACTCAGTCCTTGGACCCGCTCCACGTTCTAGGTACACTCCCCCCATTGGTGACCTCGGCCTGCCCCGCGGCTCCTCCGTGTCACCCGCACGCAGATGGCTCTCGGGTCTCTATCTCCGGCAGAGAATCCGCGAGGCTGCAGCAGGAGCGGAAGCCCACTCAGCCTCAGCGTTGCAATGGCTCGTAGCACGTTCATACCCAGGGGCACCCCCCCAAAGTCTGTTTCCAGTCTTTCCTTCACGGTACATGGTGACCTCAATGCTCAAGGTCCCAGTTCTGGAGTCATGTCCCACATCATCCTGCACACATTTCATCTATCAGGCGGACCCCCACGGGAGGTCACGGGAGGTCACGGGACACGCGGGGGGGCGACGGGAGGTCACAGGAGACGCGGGGAGGGGGGTCTCCCTTGCGGCGGAGGGAGGCGACCAGCAGACTGTGGGCCGGAGAGAGGCTCACCCGCGGTGGTTAGAGCTCGGGAGCGCCTGGCGTGAACTCGGGTCTCTAAGTCACCGCTTAGCCCGCACCTCTCTCACGCCGCCCACACGGAGACTACCGCCCCGCGGAGCTCCCGCCACAGATACTGCGGCCTAGAGGAGCCGCCCCGACCCCGACTCCGCCCCCCGACCCCCCGACTCCGCCCCCAGCCCGGCCCCGCCCCCGGCGGAAGTTCCGGGCGGGCCGCCCCCGCGGCTTCTGCGCCTGCGCGAAGATGGCGGAGGAGGGGACCATCCGCGTGGTCCGCTGTGGCGGCAGCGAGCTCAACCTCCGGAGAGCCGAGTTCTCCGCGGATTCCAAGTACGGGACCGCCGCCTCGGCCGCCGGGTGGAGGCGGGAGGGGGCAGAGGTCAGGCGCGTCGGGCTTGCGGACCCGCGGTCCCGGGCTCGGGGGGCGCGCGGGCGCCCGGGCCTGAGGCTGTGGCGGAGTGGAAGCTCCGCGCTGTGACCCCGACACTGGGCGCGCCTCTGCCCGGGACCGCTCGCCCGCGGGTCCGTGCAGGCCCGGGGGACCCCGCGCTCCCGAGTCGGCGCGGCGGGGGGGGGGGGGTGTGCGCACGGCCCCGCGGCACCTGGGGGGGGTGGGCGCGGGGTCCCGGTAGGATCGGGAGGGGTGGGCGCGGGGTCCCCGCGGCATCTGCGGAGGAGTCGGTACCAGGGTCCCCGCGGCACCTGGGGAGGGGTGGGCGCAGGGTCCCGGCAGGACCTCGGGAGGGGTGGGCGCAGGGTCCCGGTAGGACCTCGGGAGGGGTGGGCACAGGGTCCCCGCGGCACCTGGGGAGGAGATGCTCCCGGGTCCCCGCAGCACCTCGGGAGGGGGGGCGCGGGGTCCTGGTAGGACCTCGGGAGGGGTGGGCGCAGGGTCCCGGCAGGACCTCGGGAGGGGTGGGCGCAGGGTCCCGGCAGGACCTCGGGAGGGATGGGCGCAGGGTCCCCGCGGCACCTCGGGGAAGGTATTTTGGCAACCTTTGGCAGCTTTGCGTGATGAATCGGGGTGTTCGTTTCTGTGCGGGATAACAACATATATAAACCCTGGTGCCTTTTCTCAGGAGTTCGGTGTGATTGGAAACTAAGATGCTCGCTAGGTTTAAAACCCGGTTCTTCCGTCGTGTGATCTTTGCAAGTTCTTAATCTTCTCTTCAGTTGCTTTTTCCGTAAAACAGGAATATTTTGTAATCCATCTCCTAGGGTTGTTGAGATTGCTTAAATGCTGTAAGGCCTAGAAAGCAAGTAAACAGCCTGGCAGTTAATGACTTAGTGTTCGTCAGTTGTCATCTTCCTTTAGTCTTGCTCACCTCTAGTCTTTAGTCTTGCTCACCTTTAGTCTTGCTCAGAACCCTGTAATAATCTTTTGTTGCCGTCCTTAAATACTGCGCTTTTGTTTGGCTTGCAAGGCCTTCCATGATCTAGCTTGAGTCTGCTCATCCAGTGTGTTTCCTGACATAACCCACTGTACACACTTGGCTTGTTAGATAGGTACATTTCCAATTTCTTGTTAGTTGTATCCCAGCTTTTGCTTATGTTGCTATTTTTCCTTCCCAGCTCTTAAATTATGCATCCTTCAGAGCCTCATTTAAGTCCTGATTCCTGCTTGAAAGCATCCCTAACTTCTTGCTTCTCCAGTTCATCAACAAAGATGATTTGAGTCCTATGTGACAAGCATTGTGGTAGGTGCTTACATGCATTTCTGTCTACAAGGTTAGGTATTATTATCCCAATTGTATGGAAGTATTTACTGAGTGTATACTGTGTGTATTAAGGGTGCATTTGCATGTGTTGTTTCATTTCATCCTCATAGTCACCCTGTGAGAAATCTTAGAGTGGAGAACAGTGACATTTTAGAGAAGTTAATTCTCCCAACATTATTCAGCCCATTTGTGGTAAAGCTGGCGTTTGAACCTATTTGTGTTTGACTAGTTAAAAATGCGTCGTTCCCTACCATACGATACTTTTGTTACTGGATTTATAATAAGTACAGGCACCCTTCCTCCCGTGAAAGAGCTCACAGTCTGGTAGGGGAAGTCTTCCAAGGATGTCATGTGGTAAGTGCTGTGATAGAGCTAAGCCTGCCATCTTGTAGAAGCATTCAGAGTGGTGCTGATGTGGAGTGAGAAAATGTGAGGCTTCACCTGAGCTGAATCTGTCTTAAGGAATTAATTATAAAGTGTTCTGGGTGGACCACAAAATATACCAAAGCCTGGAGAGAGCATTTTCCTTTGGGAGCTTGCATTCAAATTTAAAGCCATTCTCTGCCAGGGAGCAAAGAGAGAGAGGACATTCCTTTCCTCTGGGGAAGCCTATCAGTTTGGAGTTTTCTTGGCACATGGTACCCTCTCCCCCACCACCATCTCAGGGGACCTGTTAGTATTAATGGAGTGTGTCTGTGGGGAGTGCAAGGATATTGGAGTTGTGAACCACTTTACTAGAGCACGCTTTTCAAGTGAAAAAGTGGTTCCAAGTACACCAGGTCAAATCACCAAAGGCCTTAGGAGTTTAGATCACATCCTAGAGACAGTAGGAAAACACTGACAAATTGTAATTTAATTTTACCTTTAAGGAAGTAATATGGTCAAATTTGCAAAATTAATCTGGTTTGAGAGGGAAAGGTGAATTGAAGGGCCACACCTGGAAACTGTAGGAAGCCCTTAAGAGTGGTCTAGCCTGGAGATGTTAAAACTCTGAATTAAGGTACTCATGGGAATGAAGAGGCTCCGGCTAGAGCGGTGATCATATACCTCAGATGTTTTGTTGCTTGAACTTCCTTAACCTATTAGTTAAACAACCATTTTATGACTGTCTCCTGGCTACAGCACTTACGAAATGCATCCTGATTTCAGAGAGGTGAAAAAGCAAGTGTCTTGGAACTGATAAAATAGGATAATAGTGACCCTGGTCAGCATCAGAAGATTTATTCTTATTTTGTAATAATTTTTTTGTTGGCTCATTTTATCCATTCAGTTTACCAAATCTTTGAGGACCTGATGGATTCTGTTCAACAATGTCCTGATGGATTGGACATTGGGAATCAAAGATAAATTAAGGCCTTTGCCCTATCAGAGCTTATGGGCAGATAAGGAAGGTAGATATTTATGTAAACAAGTAATTTCAACACAACATAAAAAGTACTAGGATCAAGTCATGTACAGGGTGCTTTGGGAACACAGAGAGGTCTAGCCTAGGAATTCTGGGTCTGTACCTTCTATAGCGAGGTGGTGTCCCTGGTGAACCGTGGAGAGTGGGGGATATGGAAAGATGCTGTCAGAGTAATGGTGTATATATATAGTAAGTGAATACATAGCACACGATTTTTAATATATAATTTTTGAAACTGATGTTTTGAAAGAAAACTCTATTGCAAGAAAAAAATAACTTTGATGATATTCTGTAGATAGCTTAATCTCTTTTTACAGTCCATGAAAAAAAATTTTTTTTTCTTATTTCCAGGTATATTTTCTATGTCTCTGGAGACTTTGTTAAAGTTCATAGCACGGCTACAGAAGAATGTGTACATGTATTGCAAGGGCACAGAAATCTGGTGACTGGAATCCAACTCAACCCCAACAATCATCTACAGGTGTCAAACGATTTATAATTGAATATTTTAATATTGGCTTTGTTGTTGCCGGAAGATTGTAAATTGATTTGGGCCGGGAAACTTTCCAGGTTAGACTTAAAAAAATACAGGTATCCCTTCCTTTTCAGAAGTTTGCATTATGCCACTTGGTTTTTACAATGAAAGGAAAAAGCAAAAATAGCATTCAATATTTGTTTTGCAACAAGGTGTTATAGAGGCAGCACGCACCCCTTCCAGCTAGAGTGATGCTACCAGTCTCCTTCCCCAGGAACCGCACTCAGCATCTTAGCACCAAGCCACCATAGTTTAAACTGTGTCTGTGAGCATCTGTACTTTATCTCGGTGTGTGTTTCATGTATTCCATTAGCAAGATGAGTCCTGAGGTACCAGAAAAGCCTAAGAGAGGTTATTTTCAGGATCTGGGAACACTCAAGATTTTTCCATACAAATTAATGGTAATTGCTTCTTTGTTCTACACTATTTCCACTACAAAGGGTTTTATTTATTTATTTATTTATTTATTTATTTATTTATTTATTTATTTATTTATTTATTTATTTATTTATTTATGATAGTCACAGAGAGAGAGAGAGAGAGAGAGAGGCAGAGACATAGTCAGAGGGAGAAGCGGGCTCCATGCACTGGGAGCCCGATGTGGGATTCGATCCTGGGTCTCCAGGATCGCGCCCTGGGCCAAAGGCAGGCGCCAAACTGCTGCGCCACCCAGGGATCCCTACAAAGGGTTTTATAGTAATACTTCCGTTTAGCAGGGGAAACCTGTATATTGATTTTCTGATTCAGGGTATTTTTACCCATTTTTAGTTACTAAAATAGGGTCACAGCCTAGAACTACATTGTCCCGCGTGCTGTGTTCTGTGAACCGTTTTTTCCCAAGGATGCTAATTAGATGTTGCATGAAAGAAGACATTCTTGGCTATATGAGTTCCTGAAATTCAGGGCTAGATACAGATGAATTCTTGGGTTGTAAATCTTTTCACATCCTTTTTATAAGCCTTGAATATCTGAAAAGACTGTATATGGTTTTTGTTTCTCAAGCTTATATGCCCTTGAGCCCTTTGCTTTCTGGAACATGTGTTTGAAAACGTTGACTAAAAGAGATTGATGTAAAAAAAAAGAGAGAGAGAGAGAGATTGATGTTGCAGACTTGTTGCTTTACAGATGAGGCTCTTTAATGCCACTGAGATGTTAGGCCATCTTCAGGCCAGTGCCGGTCAAGAAGGGCTTCTTAACTCAATGAATGGACCAGTTAATTTCAGGACAGACTTTGGAGTCCAGTTTAATCCAGACCTCTCGGTCACCCCACAAAGGAGCTCTTGCTTCTCAGAATTCAAAATAATGAAATGTCACTTTAATTCTGTTCTTACACTTCAGCAGTCGCTAAAGAGATCTCAGAAACAGTTTACTCTTGCTCTTGTTTTTGATCAGGTTCTGTTTTTCTGGATTAGTTACAGCCAATTTAGAAGTTATTGCTTGATGCAAGAATAGATTTGCATTGCCATTTACTGTTACTCATAGGAGCAGTAAATGGCAAAGTAAACAGTAAAGGAAGGAGGGCATAAAGTGATAGGGATCTTTTCTTTCCAAATTAAATGAGCTGCTGTGAAAATCAAAGTTAAGTAGCTTTTCTGCAGGGTGCAAGCACATATTTTTTTCCTTGCTGTCCTCTGAGGATTTGACAAAATAGCTTATTGTTATCTGTAGCATTTGAGTGTTTTTAAAGCAGAAATATCCTTTTGTTAAAATTGGAATTTGTGAAGTCTGTATTACTAAATTTTGTAGCAAAACAAACCAAAAAACATACATTGCATAAAAGATCTATTTCATGTGACTTGAAAGTTAATAAAATTAGGGAACAATTTTATTGACCGGTTTGGTGAGGTGATAGGGAATACAGATTCTCTGGACTTTGGAGTCCTGGGATTTGTGTTTTGACAGTCCAGGTTTGCCTCATTATATTTACTGATTCATGTTCATGATTTTTCCTTTATACGTAGTAATTGTGATGTATATTTTCTACTTACTATGATTCTTTTACTTGAATCAATAATAATCATCATTTTCTGTTCTCTGATTCCATGTCCTCATTGGCAGAAATCTTAAAATTACCGCTTTCAGAAAACGTAATTCTTTACTAATGTTATAACCAAAGTATTTCTCCCAGGAACAGCAACTAGTAATCCGCTGTGACCTTAGTAAAATCAAGTCCCCTGGGACAAAAATAAAAAATAAAATAAAAAAAAATAAAAATGCATGTTACTAAGGCCTCCTGGTGCTACCAAAGTGTGAGGCACAAACCAGTACCACAAATGGTTGGTTACCAATTTGCAACTAGAAGACTGTAGCAATTGACCCAAAACTTTAGAGGACTTCGACATTGCTATAGCATCCAAGTATGTAACTTCTATATTGTGTTTTACAAAAATATTGTTCATTAATGTGTTGGACATTTTTTTTTAAATAGGACATTCTCAGATCAATTGAGAAGCACTCCTTTAATACCCATCTAAGATGAAAGGAGTTCTGCTAATAATAGAGGATGGGCTCTGGGAGAAATATTACCAACCTCTTAAGTGCTTTTTATAGCTCAATAACTTACCATCTCCCTCTTGAACATAGAAGGTGGACTTTTGTCCTCCCTCATTTTTAAAAAAAAATTTTTTTTTTAATTTTTTTTATTTATGATAGTCACAGAGAGAGGGAGAGAGGCAGAGACACAGGCAGAGGGAGAAGCAGGCTCCATGCACCGGGAGCCCGATGTGGGATTCGATCCCAGGTCTCCAAGATCGTGCCCTGGGCCAAAGGCAGGCGCCAATCCGCTGCGCCACCCAGGGATCCCTGTCCTCCCTCATTTTAATTAAAACTTGAAGTTTCTTCAAAGAGCTGTGATTAGATTTTCTATTTTGCAAAAGCAATGAGTAGATGACTCTACCTCTTTAAGGCTAATAATTTAATGAACAGAAAATATCATCTCTATCAGTTATTCATTGGCTATCTTAATGGAGTTTTATTTTGTAATAACTTTTGTACTGTCTTTACCCTTTTAGTTGTATTCTTGTTCCTTTGATGGCACCATTAAACTGTGGGACTATATAGATGGCATTTTAATAAAGGTATGTGGATTGATCTTCCATTTGAAAAGGGATGGCAACATAATTTAATGACAGACAAACTGTTTTCTTCTATAAGGCCTAATCTTTAGATAGTCTTTCTAAATAAGTTATGAAAGTCACACACCATGAAAGAAAAGAAATTGTTTGAAATTTTAAACTTACAACAAAAAGATAAGCAATAAAATTGGAAGAAAATATTTACAAGAGTTAGTATCCCTAATATACAGAAAATTCCCAAAAACAATAAGAAAAAACTAATAACCCAGTAGGAAGAAATTGGCATAAGGTAGGAATATGTAATTCCCAGAAAAAAATAACATAAAAAGGTGTTTAACCTCATTAATAAAGAAGTAACAGAGCATTTTTCCCTATCAGTTTGGCCAAATTGCAGACTGCAAAAGCAATCTAGTGAGAGGTAAAGTGTAGAGAAACAGATACTTTTGTATCAGAATACAAAAGAAAATGGAAAAATAACTTTTGCTCCAGCGATCTCACTTTTTGGAATCTCTTGTAGAAATAATGTGTGTGTCAATACACACATTGTATTGTCAGTATTGTAATATCTACAGCATTGTTTATGGTAGAAAAATATTGAGTATAACCTTGATGATCGTTAACATTTCATATTCAATAGATACTGTATAACCATTGAAAAGAAACAAGTGGATCTATATTATTAATTTGAAATTTTATTCAACGAATACATATTGAGTGCCTTTTGTATACCAGGTATTCTTCTGATGGTGGGACATAGCAGTAAGCAAAATGGATAAGATTTCCCTTATGGAACTTATGTTGTTGTTTTGTTTTTTTTTTAATTTAATCTTCCTGCATCTCTTGTTTATTTTTATTTTTATTTTTTTTTAAGATTTTATTTATTCATTTATGATAGAGAGGGAGAGACAGGCAGAGACAGGCAGAGGGAGAAGCAGGCTCCATGCCGGGAGCCCGATGAGGGACTTGATCCCGGGACTCCAGGATCGCGCCCTGGGCCAAAGGCAGGCGCTAAACCGCTGAGCCACCCAGGGATCCCCCTTATGTTGGAGTTTTGAGATAGATATAAACAATATGGTACTTCTAATCTTTATCTTACTCTGTCTTTCAGACTTTCATAGTAGGGCATAAACTTCATGCCCTCTTTACTCTAGCCTGTGCTGAGGACTCTGTCTTCGTTATAATAAACAAAGAAAAACCAGGTATAGTATAATTAACTTACTTTGTTTTATATAGCATTAGGTTACTCTTTCCATAGTTTCTCAGAATTTAACATTTTGGTTTAATCTGAAGTTAAGTTTTTGGAGCTGGCATTTAATTTGTTTCTATTATTATTGCATTCATTTTGGGGAAGCTTCCCACTAGTTCTGAAATACACAATGGGGGAATGATTAATATATAGTTGTAATAATAGATTGCATAGCTCAGACTTCAAAGCTGTTTTGTAGGGGGCTAGCGTTTTTCTTTCTACTGACCTTAATCTGTCATTCTTAAGCATCACTGTCATTTTATCCATTACTGAACACGCTTTTTGTTGATCCTGAATCTGCCAGAAATGGTATAGTAAACAGTTTGATATTAAGACCTAGTTGTGTGATTAAATTATTAATTGCATTTTCATTATCATTGGAACATTATTTCATTGGAATTACCATGTTTCAGAGCATTTTATGAATTCCTGGAATATCTTCAGTGATTATAAACAGCTGTCCTTTAGCAGAGAATTTGATACATCAGAACATTGACATGAGCGATAAAACCAAAGAACTTTTCTAATACCAGAATTCAAGAAGACCACTGCATCCTCTGGTGTTCTCTATAAAATATAGTTGTATTCAGAATTCAAAGATGAAAGGAGATTTAAGATGGTCTTAAAGCAGTCTTCTGACTGGCTCATGGCTCATTAGCTAAATGAATCCTTTCCATGGTATATTTTTGTTATTTTGGGCTTGGTTTGGGGAAGGTGTTTTTGTTTTGTTTTTGGCTTATTTTGTGCTGTGTGTGTTTGGTTTTAGCTGTAACAAATTTATTGATTGTTTTATATTGTGGACTTTCAGTTATCTGAGAATAGTCAAAATGGTGAAAGCTAAATCTGCCTTTTAGCTGAAAATTGGTGAAGTCTGTTTATGAGTAATATTTTATCTATCAAAAATGTTACATGAAAGAATAAAAACAAGTAGTTTAGTTTTCTTATGTAGCCCAGAAACCACGTCTAAAGGATGGTTTTAAAAGTGTTCTAGAAATGGCAACATTTCTTAAAAAAAATTAAGTCTCCTTCCTGGTTGACTATTTTAGATAACACTTTTCAGTATTTAAATTCTGTTTTATATATGAGTGTGGATTCCTAATGTCTCTCCACATACTTAATAAAATTCAGATTCCTAATCTCCCTGACTGACAGTTGATTCACTAGTTTTGAGATTTAGTCTAGGAATCTACATTTTAATATTTCCCCTGATGATTCTGCTCATCACCCACGTTGGTAACCAGTCTGTATACTAACACCATGATTCCTTAGTTGCAAAGGTAGTTGCTAATAGTTGTAGCAAAACTTTTTTATCCATATCAGTGAGATCAGTGATTCTCAAAAATTGCTGCACTTTAGAATTATCCCAAGGAACTTATTAAAATGTTGATTCCCTAAGCTGGGGCCTGTTTACTCAAATGTTCCCTAGTTGAGTCAAGGATAGAAAACTACTGCCAAGTAAGACCTTGGCATTCACCTTTTGGACTTAACCAAATGCTGTAATCTAATCAAAATTCTGTTCATGATGGGATTGGTTTTACTCTTTCCTATTTGGCACATCATGAGCACTCAGCATGTGAAAATCTAGTTGGCTGTTACATAAAAATGTGAATCAGGCTTGAACTGGCATTTCTTAGAACTAAAATATATATCCTTCATTTGTTTCATCTTTGTTCCACAATCCAAAACCAGTGTCTGATACAGAATTGTACAAATCATATTGAAGTATGTTTTGCTGGTTTAAAAACAAATTGTTATTTACATATCATCTTTAGTGCTATCATTTTCTTTTACTAGAAGTAATTTATCTATTTAATATCTAATTGAAAACATTCCATGTGCCGAATACTATTCTGACTGCAGAGAACAAAACGGACAATCCCAACAATAAGCAGGCTAGATCAGTCATAAGATGTAATAAGTTGAAAGACGCTTTGGAGAATAATACAGCAGGGAAGGGGAATAGGCAACACTGGAGAACTACATATTTAAATAAGTGGTCAGGGAACGTTTTGAGGATAAGCTGTGCGATGGTATCGGAGAATCATAATCGGCATTTCTAGCATGTTTAAGGAATAGCAGGGAGGCTGGATTTGAGTGATCCAAGGGATAATAAATAATATAACATATAGCCTTATACGCCATTGAAAGGACTTTGGTTTTTACTCCAAGTAGATAAAAAGCCATTGAAGAGTTTTGAGCAGAAGAGTGAAATGATCTTAATTGTACTAGAATTGCTGGCTCATTGAGAATACACTAAAGGGGAACGAGGATAGAAGTACAGAGTACAGTTAAGAGGTCACTGATTAGGTGGTGAGAAATGATTGAGGTCTAGGTATCTTTGGAAGATACAGCCGACAGGGTTTGCCGATGGTTTGACGTGGGATATGAAAGAGAAGTACACGATAATGCAAGGATTTAGTCTAAGCAACTGGGTGAATGGTGGTATCATCTCCTGCAGTGGGGGAAGACCAAGGTTAAAAAGGAAAATCAGGAGTTCAGGGTTTGGACATGTGAAGTTTCAGATGACTGAGAAAGCTAGAAGAATCCAGAGTTGAAAGCAAATAATAATCAGGCTGGGAAATGAGAAAGTGATAAATCAATGTGTTACAGAAGCTTATATTCAGACATTATAATATCTGGGAAAATAAGAAAGTAGCATAGTAAAATACAGCCATTTTCTCTTGAGAGATTTTTTAAATAGATGATAAAGAGAACAGCACGTCAGTATTATAGATGAGGACATTGATCTTGTGACTGTGTGGCAAGCACATAGCATTTCTCATATGGGTTTATTGCCTTTGGCTTCTCAGTTCACCACTACACCACATTCCACCTCCATTGTAAAGGTTAGCGTAATACTTTGGAATACAGAGAATACACCAGTAAGATAAATTGTTTTCTCTTGCTCTATAGAGCATGTATATGTAGGAGTTAGTTGTGAAATTAGACTTCCACTTAAAACTTGTATATTCAGATGAATGGTCCAACTTGAAGGCGCATTTTGTTCAAGATGGCCTAGAATTATTCTCCTGCTATCAAATGCATTTTGGAGTACTAATTAACAGTTTCATATGAATAAGTGCACATGTTCATTTTTCTCTAGAGAACGTTTATATTAATATAGCTTCCTTTGGCTAGATGTATTTCAGCTGGTTTCAGTGAAACTGTCAAAATCATCAAGTCAGGAAATAGAAGCTAAGGAGATCTCCTTTGTTTTGGATTATATAAACCAGTCACCCAAGTGCATTGCCTTTGGAAATGAGGTAAAATTTGTTTTGGTTTTCTCTTTTGTAAAATCCCTTTGCAGCAATGTTTCCTCTGAGCATTTTCTGTTATAGTCATTGAATACTGCTTTATAATATTTTTGTTAGCTAAGAAGTTTGTTCCATTACATTAGCATGTGTTTATGGTATAGATTTTTTAGGATCCTTAATTTTGTATACACCTATTGTTCTTGTAAACCCTCTAATTCTTCAAAAAAAACCCCATTATTTTGGTATTTGTACTCTTTCTTAGCCTGCCCTATATAAAAGCCACTCAAATTCTTTCATTTTTAGACTGTGTCTTTAGAAAATATGACCTCTCTGTCCATAATCAGTGTGCCCATTATAGAAAATTTGGAAGTTAAAGTGAAAAAATTAAATCTTACCAGTGATATTTGAGGGATCTTTCTAGACTTTTTCCTAAACGTGTATAGAATAACTTTTCCCAAACTGAATTAGGATCTGGAGGCTTTTTACCTTACCTTTGTTTTCACTTAACATTGTAGCATGAGTGTATATACTTAAATGTTCATCAGAAATACTATGATGTTGCTACCATGACTTAGCCTTTCCCTATTACTAATTACTTGGTTATTTTAAAAATCAAGCATCACCAGAAGTCCCTAGAGGACATTGTGGTGGCATGTTTGTATAGTCTAAGTTTACAGCATTATTTTGGTTTTGTTCTAAAAAGGGTTAATTTCTTAGAACACTTTTAACGTTAAAAACTGACAGTATTGACCATGGCAAGATACAGATCAAAGGTAAACATCTGTCCTTACCATGAGCCAGTAGTTCCCACTCCTACGTAAAGAAATGAGAACATGACCATAAAATGTCCTGCTAGTATTCATAGTAGCTCCAGAATGGAAGTAACCTAAATGTTCATCAACAAGAGAATAAACAATTTGTGATACGTACTCCTCTATTGGCATGTTGCTTCATAATAGTAGAAACTAATGATACCGATAAGAGCATGAACGAATCTCAAAAAGGTGATGATGAGCTAGAGTTCAGATACAAAGCTGTACATTGCATTGTTGTGTTTGTATGATGTTCTAGAACAGAGAAGTCAACTGTACTGATAGAACTCCGTTTGTGCTGGCTGGGGCAGGGACATTGGGAATGACTAGGAAAAGGAATAAGGAAACATTTCTGATGTGAAGTAAATGTTCTCCATCTTGTGATTACATGGACATACATGTCAAGCATTGCATTATTTTGTATATAAATTATGCCTTAGTGGGAAAAATTGGAATCGTTATACTTAAAGCTAGAGGGTGTAGTTTTCAGATATAGGACCTAAATTTGTGTTTGAATTTTCTGTAATTATTTTAAAAGGATTATCTTTTCCATAGCTATCTATATCATTTTATATTAATATACTCAGTCTGCAAAAAAGATGTTACTATGTTAATTTTTTGTGATGAGAGCATTTCTTAAAGACTTCAATTTTTGTGAATGTCCTCTCTCTGAAATATTAGGGAGAATATGTTGCTGCAGTACGGGACTTTTACTTGTCTGTCTATTTTTTCAAAAGGAAAACAACATCAAGGTAAGAAATCCTTTCTGATAGTTTTATTTACTCAAGTTTGTTGTAATTTATTTCATGTTCGAACCTGTGACCCAGAGCTGTTCCTACTTTCATGTTGGAAGATTTTGTGAAACCACTACATACAGAGGTAGAGTTTTTAACCCACAATGGATAGGGTTGAAGGAATCCTAACACATAGAAACCTAGGGAGCTTTGTCGAGCCAAAACCCCTTGTCCACTTAGGTTCTGGTGTGTGTGTGTGATGTCAGAATTGGATGTAGTTTGAAAAGGTTAGCCCAGGTGACCTTTATTGCCATTTTCTTTTGGCTGTAGGAATGAACGTAGGCTTTGGGATAACTGGGTTTAAAATGAGTCAGATTTAGTCTCTTTGAACCTCACTGTACCTCACATTAACATCTATTTAAAATGGGGATAATATCTACCTATTAGAGTTGTAAGGATGAATAAAATAACATATTTGAGGAGATTAGTGCTGAGCATGAGCAGTGACTCTTTGAATGACACTGTCCCCTTTTCCCTTTATCCTGTCAAGATTAACATGTTTTTCTTTGCAGTATAATAAAGATCCTATTATCTTCGGACACATTAGCCAGTTGTCTCAGATATAATTTACTAGGCTTGTTCATACCTAATGTGAAAACTTGGCTTCAGTTGACAAGAGATTTGGACAAACTTGGCTCAGGCAAAAGCTGCTGGAAGGACTGCCTTGGCTTTACCTCGATGTCAGTGGCCTCTGTAGACAAGTAACCATGATAGAATGTTAGTCACATGGAGTTTATATTGCATATTAGTAAGTGTTTGCCAAAAAAAAATTGATTCTTAGTCATGATTTTTTTAAAATTATGCATTTATATTTGGTGAATTTTGAGAGCTCTCCAGTTTGGTTCATAAGGGTGCAAACTCCCTTTTACTTAACTACATCACCACTTACCAAGAGACTTTAATAAGGGACAGTTTTTTTCTTCTAGGTTTACATTATCATCATCAAGAAATAAGAAACATGCCAAGAACAATTTTACATGTGTAGCATGTCATCCAAAGGAAGATTGCATAGCAACTGGTCACAAGGATGGCAAAATTCGTCTTTGGTCAGTTAACTTATGAAGAGCATGGTGATCTTTGCATATTATTTTATATCAGTGCTGCAGAACAGCTATTTTTGAATTCAGGAAAAAGGATAGTACTGGTAATACAGATGAGGTTTTGCTGACACCCCCCATTTCTTGTACTACTGTGCTCTTCGTTGCATAGACTTAGTATTTTCAAACTTCTAACCTTGGGCTGGTAGGAGGAGTTAAAAAAAATTTAATTTTGCCTATAACTTTTATTGAGAAGACCTTCTTTATCAGGCTTTAAGTGAAAAGACTAACAGTAGTGTATATCTAGTAGGATACCATGAATGGTCTATTGTTTGTAGAAGTCACTGATTAGAAATAGAAAATGTACTTTTTACACATTAAGACTTGCAAGCTTGATATAATTTATTATTTTGGCATATGTTATATCCATTATATTTGGCATGCCATTACTTTTATTAACTTAATGCCTTTGGTCAAATGAACAATTTTTGTTTTTCTTCAATAGGAGGAATTTTGATGATGATAAGAAATACACATACACATGTTTACATTGGCACCATGATATGGTCATGGATTTGGCTTTTTCAGTGACAGGTAAGTGAAGTTTAATAATTGAAATGAACTTTTGAAATCTATTCAGTATTCACTGCATTGAAAGGTTTAGGATTGCATGGACCAAAGGAATTGTAAATGCTTATAAATCACCCCTGTGGTTCGGGCTTTCTTCAGCACAGTACCACATATCATAGATTTCAGAGCCCTTCAGAGTATCAAAATGCACACGTGTGATAAAGTCCTTGTTGTTAACATAAAGAACCTTTTGAAATTACCCTAGTTTTTTTAAAAAAATATGTGGCTAAGTGCTTGTCCATTAGAGTTGCTATAGTTTATCAGGTATAAATGATTATGCTATGCTTTACATCCACTACTTCATTTAATTCTGGCAGCTATGAAATACACATCATTTTGCAGATAAAGTGATTTGTGGTTGACAACTAATTTGCTTGAGGTCCCACAGCAAGTAAGTGGGATTTGGACCTAGGTCTAAATCAAAAATTTATGTCTTAATTAGGTTGCCTCCTTTGCATTCACATTTTTAAATTAATTCAGAACTTGTATTTCATTTAAGGTACATGAGAGTGTGGCTATTGTAATTAAGCTGACAAAGTACAATATCCATTCATGATAAAACCCCTCAAAACAGGTTTAGAGAGAACATACTTCAACATATAATAAAGGCTATATGTGAAAAAAAAAAAGCACAGCTAATATGCTTGATGCAGAACAACTTAGAACTTTTCCTCTGCAGTTAGAAGAAGACAGGGATGTCTCGTCTTGCCACTGTCATTTAAGATAGTACTGGTAGTCCTAGACATAGCAATCGTTGAGAGTGATGATGAACTTTTTCACTGTTTGCAGAGGACATGATACTATAAAACCTGAAAGACCACCAAAACCTGCTAGAACTGATAAATAAATCCAGGAAAGTCACAGGATACAAAATCATAGTACAGAAAACTGTTGCATTTCTTTTTTTTTTTTTTTTTAATTTTATTTATTTATTTATTTATTTATTTATTTATTTATTTATTTATTTATTTATTTTAATTCATGATAGAGAGAGAGAGAAGCAGAGACATAGGCAGAGGGAGAAGCAGGCTCCATGCACCGGGAGCCCGACGTGGGATTCGATCCCGGGTCTCCAGGATCGCGCCCTGGGCCAAAGGCAGGCGCCAAACCGCTGCGCCACCCAGGGATCCCAACTGTTGCATTTCTATACATCAATAATATTGGGGAAAGGGAAATTAAGGAGTCAGTCGCGATTTATAATTGCACCAAAACTAATAAGATACCTAGGAATAAACATATAAAGGTCTGTCCTATGAAAACTATAAAACACTGATGAAAAAAATTGAAGATGACACAAAGAAATGGAAAGACATTCCATGCTCCCATGAGAGATGAACCCGCAACTATATCTTCCATTAGTCTTCAACAAAGCAGCAAAGAAAATGCAATACGAAAAAATCTCTTCAACAAATGGTGTTGGGAAAACTGGACAGCAACATTCAAAAGAATGAAGCTGGAACACTTTTTTACACCATACACAAAAATAAATCCAAAATGGTTTAAGGACATGGGAGACATGAAACCATCATAATCCTAGAGTACAACACAGAAACCTCTTTGACATTGGCTGTAGCAATATTTTTCCAGATATGTTTCCTGAGGCAAGGGAAACAAAAGCAAAAATAAACTATTGGGAGTTCATCAAAATAAGGGAAACAATAAAAACTTAAAGGTAACCTATGGAATGGGTATCTACAAATGACATATCCGATAAAAGGCTAGAATCCAAAATATATAAAAACTTACACAACTTAAACCCAAAAAGTAATCCAATTAAAACATGCAGAAGACATGAACAGATAATTTGTCTAAAGAAGCCATACAGATGGCCAACAGACCCATGAAAACATGCTCAGCATCACTCATCAGGGAACTATAAATCAAAACTACAATGAGATATTACCTCACTCCTGTCAGAGTAGCTAAAATAAAAAACACTAGGAACAACAGGTGTTGGCAAGGATGTGGGGAAGGGGAGACCCTCTTGCACTGTTGGTGGGAAATGCAAGCACTCTGGTGCAGCTACTCTGTTAAACAGTGTGTAGGACCCTCCCAAATCAAGTTAAAAATAGAATTACCATATGATCCAGGAATGGCACTATTAGGTATTTACCCAGAGAATGCAAAAATACTAATTCAAAAGGATACATGCAACTTCATGTTTATAGCAGCATTTTCTACGATAGCCAAATTATGGAAACAGCCAAGTGTCCATTGACTTATGAATGGATAAAGAAAATCTGATGTGTGTATGCACACACATACACACAAAATGGAATATTACTCAGCCATAAAAAAGAATGAGACTGCGATTTGCAAAGACAGATGGAGCTAGTGAGAATTATGCTTAACAAAGTAAGTCTAAGAAAGGCAAATACCATATGTTTTCACTTGTGTGGAATTTAAAAAACAAAACAAATGAACAAAGGGAAAAGGATGCAAACTAAGAAACAGACTCTAAGCAAAAAAAAAATGTTACCAGAGGGAGGGGATGTGAAAGATGAGTTAAATAGGTGATGGGGATTAAGGACTTCACTTGTGATGAGCACTGGGTATTATATAGAATTGTTGAATCACTATATTGTACATCTGAAACTAATATTACACTATAAACTAATTGGAATTTGAAACATTTTTTAAATTATTAAAAATATTTTAAAATCTTCCTTGAAAATAGGATGGTCAACAGAAGTTTGTATTTTAGCACCCTCACACCTGTCTAGTCAAAGTTATATCAGTATATTTTGACTGCTGAAAAAAGGGGACTGGGTGCTAAAAAAGATTATGTGCCTGGAGAAAGTGAATTTTTTTTTTCTCTAGGTCTTCCTAGAGACTGTCAGTATAAGTTTTAGTATCATGTGCTCTGGATCCTTACAGGGTTACTTGGGTTTAACTCACTGGAGCCTCAGGATGTAGGAGGTGCCTTCAGCCTACTTTGGGTTGGAGTGGGGAACAGTTACTGATGTATGGGGGTGGGACCCAACCTAATGCACTTAGGGTAGTACAACAGTTGTGAAGTGGGAATTAAGAATAGAAGGAGAATGAAGAGGATATTAACCCTCTGAATAAAAGATGTAGGCTGTTCTCATCTTTTCCACCCTTCTCATACCCCACCCTCCAGAAATACAGATGGGGGGAGGCATGTGTATGTATACATGTGTATGTCATGTTCCACGCAGTGTCATTTGGCTTTTCATCCGCAATTTCATGTTCTCTGCTATGGCCCCTGTCCTAATTTGGGCCAAGACCAGTTGATATGTACTATCACTGACTCCTCTCTTTGTCATCTGCCACCTCTCACACCAGTTAGCAGTCACAGCTCTCTGTGATGGCTTTACTTAAACCCTGGAACATTTACTATTGCCCTTTACAGATGAGTCTTGGAGAAGGAGTAGACCAGTAGGCACTCAAAGAAAGGGAAGGAAAGAATACAGGGAGCCTGTGCCTTGAGCCAAAGCTTTGGTATAGGAGGTCCTGCAGCTAATCGTGGCTTATCGGAGGGTTGAATTCTTGGGTTTATATTATAAGTCATGTGGATATTTGTAAATGAGAAGTAATAGTTAAATACCGTACTCGGGGTAGGGGCGGGGAGCACCTGGGTGGCTCAGTCAGTTGAGCATCCAACTGTAAGTTTAGGTTGTGATCTCTGGGTAGTGAGATCAAGCCCTGCATCAGGCTGCACACTGGGTGCAGTCTTCTTGAGATGCTCCTTCTGTTTCTCCACCGACTCTGGTGCAATGCACTCTCTCTCAAATCTTTAAAATACACACACACACACACACACACATATATATATAGTACATGGTTGTCAGTAATAAAAACATCAGCATTGATCCTATATAGGTATAGGAGAAATAATAGGAGAAGATTAGTTGTCTGTGTAAATGAGCTATAAATTATAGTTGCTTTGGAGGATGGTTATAAGTTCAGGCAAATATGAACAGTATAAACTGTTTTGGCTGTGCTTTGCACCCAGTCACACTATATGAGCACTGAAGTCATTAGTTCTCTCCCATCCTTAATCCCTTCATGTCTCATGTCAGTGTATCAGGACCTCCACATAATGCTGAATCTAAGTGGGACTAGTGTTCCCAATCACAGGGGGAAAGTTTTCAGTATTTTAGCATTTAAAATGATGCTTGCTGTAGATTTTCTCCAGGAATCCTTGATGAAATGTTAGAGATCTCAATTCCTAAGTTACTGAGAATTTTTATCATGGGTATAGAATTCTACAATTTACTTTTTCTGCATCTATTAAAATATTCATGATTATTGTCTTTATTTTGTCAATGGAATTAATTACTTTTCAAGTGTTAATCACATTTTTACAGTTGAGTTTACTCATATATTATCTGCTTAATATATCCTTGGATTCAGCTTTAATATTTTCAGAATTTTCATCTGTCATGAAATTGACTTATAACTTTCTTACAATTTATTAGTTTGGGGAAAGGATTATGCTGTTCCTGTAAACAAGTTGGGAGGTATTCTTTGGGTTTTTTTTTTGTTGTTGTTGTTGTTACTTTGAAGAGTATTAAAATTGGTTCATTTTTTTAAATATTTGGAAAAATTTGTCATTGAAGCCATCTGGTCCTAGAGGATGTTTGTTTCATTCAGTTTTTCTACTATTGGCAGAAGAGTTGGTCAGCAACAAACTAGTTAGATGTTGTTGGAAAGGAATATCCCAGAATCCATGACTGTTAAGTCTGTTGTCTTAGGTTTATTAATAGATAGGAAGACATTTGTTTGCATACTTTTAAAAATAGTTATATATCTCTAACATGGTAGGAAAATCTTAAGTGTTAATTATATTTCTCTTTCTAATTTTTCCCCCCATATGCTGTTCTTTCCATTTCTGTGGACGGATGAGAAGGCACCAGTCTGCTGAGTGGTGGTCAGGAATCTGTCCTAGTAGAGTGGCGCGATGCAACAGAGAAGAATAAGGAGTTCCTCCCCCGTTTGGGAGCTACTATTGAACATATCTCGGTCTCACCAGCTGGGGATTTGTTCTGTACTTCTCACTCTGATAATAGTAAGTCTGAATTTGTTGTGAAGAATTAGAATTGTACAACTAGCGAATGGAAAATAAGAGACCTAAAACTAATCAAGAGTAGCATAAGATTCAGTGAACATTTTTTTCTTCCATTCTTCCTCCTTTATCTCTTCCTTTTTTGACTCTAGATGCACCAGGATCCAACATTTTCAGGATTGTTTTTATAAAAACACAGGGCTAGTATATTTGGTTCTTGTACCACTTCCACTTCAAAACCTTTACATGTGGGATGATGTGGGGGTAATAGGGGAGAAGTTCTTGAAGTGGGCATTTGTGCCTCTGCAAATGTAATGACATTTTCAAAAGAACGCTGACATAACTACTCTCTCAGCATGGGAGTCCTGTGGATTCTGACAGGAATGGAGGCAGTCATAGATACACCCCCAAAACTTTTTGCTCATCCTGTTACTACTCAGCCTAAATGTAGATCTGAGCCTATTATCTCCTTTTCCCTTAAAAAAAAAACAAAAAACAAAAAACAAAAAACCCATAACTGGATAATCCATGAGTGTAGTGACTCATTTCAAAGTAAACTGTCTCTTTTAGGGTATATGAGTTTCTGAATTAACACTTAAAATATATTCATATGTACAAGTGATAAACCTTAAAGCCTCAAAACAAAAAAACAAAACACCCCTCCTCCCCAGCCTCAGTTTTCTAGGTAAATCACAAAATACAATCCTGATTTTCTTTTTTTATTCCTGATTTTCTAATAATGCTAAGTATAAATTGAACTTAAGTTGTATTGTATTCTGGTATATTTTAGAATGACATAATTTAACTGATTTTTTTTTTTTTTTACCTTGAAGTTCTGATTGATTGGGTTTTTTGGTTTTTTTGTTTTTTTACCCACAGAGATAATAGTGATTCACCGAAACCTAGAGGCATCCGCAGTAATTCAAGGCCTAGTGAAAGGTAAGATAAAACCCAGTCGATTTGTAATCATGTGCATTTTAAAAGTGAGTATTTGCATGATTTTAACTATTTATCACTTCTTTTGCAGACAGCAATATCTATACTGGTTTGATGATTGATCCCAGAAGTAAAGCTTTGGTTTTGAATGGAAAACCTGGCCATTTGCAGTTTTATTCTCTGCAACATGATAAGCAGTTATATAATGTAAGACTTTTTTTTTTTTAATTATTTATTCATGAGAGACACAGAGAGCGAGAGAGGCAGAGACACAGGCAGAGGGAGAAGCAGGCTCCATGCAGGGAGCCCGATGCGGGACTTGATCCCGGGACTCCGGGACTACGCCCTGGGCCAAAGTCAGGTGCCAAACCGCTGAGCCACCTAGGGATCCCCATATAATGTAAGACTTTGATCCATTAACTGGTCTTAAAACTAATGAAAGTTCCCAACTGCACCACTAGGGTTAAGTAACTTGTATAGTAGCTTCTAAAAAGATCTTGTGCCTTTGTTTGCTTGAATATTATCAATATTATCTGTGGTTACTTAGTTCTTTACAACATAATTCTAATGAGGCCACAGTTGCAGATTAAGTCTCCAAGTAAGCCAGTTGGCACTCCCATGCTGGCTCTCCATTTGATTATGCTTCAGACTGCACTCTAATTAGCTGTCATACATCTGTGCCTTTGAGTTACAAGAATAGGGAAATAAAATCATAAGGATTGGAAATACAGATATGTCTCTGCTTTGTGGTAAAATGTTATCAGTCTGTACATACTAACGATGAAATTTTCAGTGTAAGGGGGAGGCTTCTTATTAATCCAGCCTTGTGGCTTTGTGCACCACAGTACCCTTTACCAGTTTCTGTCATAGCAGCTGTACACTTGAGCTCTTTCTTTCCCTCACCTTTAAGCCCCTCAAAGGAGACTTATTTCTTTGTAAGTTTCCAGTACAGTGCCTGGAAAATAATAGTTACTTGATATATGTTTAGTGAGTAAGCAAAGGAATGGGATAAAAGAAACAACCATAAATAAAATTGTCTACTTATAACATTGCTATCTTTCTTCACTTAAAGTTGTAGATTTAAGTTTTGTTCTTCTCCTTTTTAGTGATGTGGAATTTAACCTTGAGATTTTATATAAAGCTCTTTGTACATAGAAACAAGGGAGAAAAGTGTTACTGTCAACTAAAGGTTCCACTGTATCCTGTTCATGGTCAGTCATTACTAAAATATAAGGTCATTAAAGAATAATTGCCACTGAACTGGTGAAGTGTAGTGTGCTTTTTTCATGGCGGTTTTGATATCCATAATTAATAGTTCATTTTTTTCCCTTATCTGAAAACTTATTACTATAGATTCCAAAAATTATCTTTGTGGTTAATTACTATTCCTTGAAAACGTTCACGTTTCTGTATTTACATTAAGAGCATTTTGGATTTTTTTTAACCCTTCAGTTAGATATTATACAACAAGAATATATCAATGATTATGGTCTGATCCAAATTGAGCTGACAAAGGCTGCATTTGACTGCTATGGTAACTGGCTTGCAACGGTGGAACAACGTCAGGAAAAGGAAACAGAGCTTGAATTGCAGATGAAACTGTGGATGTATAATAAGAAAACACAAGGGTAATACTATCTGCATGACTTTAATTTCAGAGTGGAAAATGTATGGCTTTCTATTTTATGGTTTCATTTGTCTGTCTTTAAAATGTTTCATTTTGGTAAATTTCAGATTTAGAGAAATGAGGGAGGTGGTACTGTACTAATGAAGCCTTTCAAGCTTTCTGCTCTGAGAAAGTGTTGGTGTCCCCCAAATTGTAAGGTCATCTCCATGCATAAATGAGGAAACAGGAGAGTGACCCCCCTCCCCAAGGACATCAGACCTAATTCCAAGCAAAGCCAGAATTGGAATCCAAACTTCTTAGTCCGTTTGCTATTTTATTAACATGCTACCTTCAGGAAAATGGCAGCCGTAGGCAGCAGAGTAGTAGCCTGTATGTTTGATTAGATAGGGAGTTCTCTAGTTTCTCAGACCTTGATTAGAGTAGCTGCTTATCAAGGCCTTGCTCTGTGCCAAGAACTAGGATTAGTGCTTTTGTACCTGTTGTCCTCCCAATCTGCACAGAAATACTGTAAGATAAACTTCTTTCCCACATTTTACAGGTTGAAGAAACCGGCTCAGAGGGTTTAATAGATTATCGCTAGTCACTCTTTTTATAGTATGGACTTTTAAAAAATCACAGCACAGTCTTGCTCCGATGTTCTTTTAAGAACACAGTGCTAGCAGAGGTTATCTTGCATTCGTAGCAGCACTGTCAAGTTGAAAACAAGCTTTGAGAGTGAGTTTGGATGACCAAATATTAAATATTGATTATGACAGTTTGAATAGGTAGTTTTCTGTATTTTCTTGCCCCAAGTAGGGGATTTCACAGCCATTCCATTTTTTGCTTATTTTCTAAAGTAGATAGTCATCTGAGTTCTGTACAGTTTTCTTGCAGAGTTTTGTATATCATTCTGTGATGACCCCTATTTTATATTTATTTTGTACAAGTTGACAGTATACATAATGATCTCTATATTGTGTAAGTTACGTGAAAACAGAGGTAATGTATTAGAACTCTTTATATCTTGTGGCCATTAGCACACTCAGTTGTGTGTCATTCTAGATGATAATGTATCTGTTTTCCATTCTTAAAGATGTGTTGTAAAGTGTACACTAAAAAATTGTGCTCACGACAGTGTATCATATGGTTCTGATGTAAGAATAAATTGATGATTTCCTTTCTCTTAGGTTTGTTCTTAATACAAAGGTTAACATGCCACATGAAGACCACATCACAGCTCTCTGTTTCTGTAATGCAGAAAAATTTGAAAGCCCCACTTTGGTTACAGCTAGTAAAGATGGTCACTTCAAAGTGTGGATGTTAACAGATGATTCTGATATATACAGTAAGTAAAATAAATATGTCTAAAGTGCATAACTTTTAAGAATTCATATATTTATTTCTTTTGTGACTTGTATCCATTCTGGTGGACATTTTCTACCATATTTAACTTCTGTGGGTTGTTGCCTAATTTTAATAATTTAAGAGAATTACATTTTACATGCCTTTTCCCCAACATCTATATACTTTTCCAGGACATTCTTGATTAATCACGTGCTGATTATTTCTGTGAGGGTACAGTGCAAAAAAAAAAAAACAAAACAAAACCCCACCAATTCTTTCACTGTTCCACTAGAGGGAGGTCAAGATTGCCAGGAAGGGACATACATTTCATACCTGTCAGTGCCTTGGAGGATTTGTAACTAAAGTTTCAAGGAGCAGGGTTTTTTTGTTGTGCTTCTTACTGCTTATAACTACCCTAAAGTATTATCTAGCATTTATACCATTTCTGAACTCTATGATCTGTTTCCACAGAAAAAGCAGTTGGCTGGACCTGTGACTTTGTGGGTAGTTATCATAAATACCAAGCAACTAACTGTTGTTTCTCTGAAGATGGCTCTCTACTGGCAGTTAGTTTTGAGGAAATAGTTACAATATGGGATTCAGAGACATGGGAACTTAAATGTACATTTTGTCAACGAGCTGGGAGTATAAGGTAAGTAATTTGGGGAGTATGTCATATGGTATTAGTTTTTGTTTTTGTTTTTTAATTTAAATGAGTCTTTCCACATAAACTTTAGTAATGATTTATGCTTCCTCTAAAGCTAGCTGTGGGTCAGTGGGGGTCAGCAGCAAACCAAAATGGTAGGAAGCTAAAAATTTGGGGTATGTGAACCATTTGCTGTGGTTTTACCCATTTTCTGAAATGAGGATTAACATTTCACTTTTGGCCTAACAGGTTTCTTTTTTCTTTACAATAAATACTTTTCATGGTTGTGCTACTAATAATGGATGCTAATAAGCCTCAGTGGATCCAAATAGTCCTTATCTTCTGTTTTCCCATAAAAACACTGTCATACTCAAACTTTGTTATATCCAGAAGGGTCAAAAGGAAAGACAGCAACATCTCCCACTTTACCTCAGGCATTTGAGGACAGAATGGCAGAAGGCTAACAAGATAGTTTTTAATTCCCAACATATCTGATTCTGAATTTTCTTTGTAAAACTTCCTTCAGAATTTATATTGCAAATGTTCTTCCTGTGGATTAAACAAGCATACTAATCCACAAAGGATTTTGTTAAATGACTTTGAGCATTTCACATACATGTTATCTATAGTATATGTCAGTTAAACTGTACAGCATATTAGAGAAGAAAGAATTGGTCATCAAACCTGTTTTTTTAAAGAAACAAAACAGCTAAATATTTCCTTTTGCTCTCCTTATTCCTTTTTTTCTTCAAGATAATTATGAACAAAAATGTGTCTTTCTAAAAATCTGCATTGCATAAAACTATACTAGAAGTCCGTAGTTCAAACCTCAGTGTGCTAGAACTGATAGTTCATGTCTTGTGGTTTTAATATAGGTACCTTTGCTTTGGAAGATTGACTTGTTCCAAGTATCTTCTTGGTGCTACTAAAAGTGACATTCTTTGCTGTTGGAATCTGCTCAGTTGTGCATGTAAGATTTTTTTTTTTACTATAAAGTGACTTGGCAAAGCATGTAATAATGGCCATTAAATGTTGGCATTTTAGGACTTCTGGCTCATATCTTCATGCCTCCTCCAGAGTATATGTAATTTTTCACATGTCATGTTACACCACCAAAATTCAGGGCCTGTCATAGATGCACATTCTTTGTAATCTGCCTAATTGGCCATAAATTGACTTCCGTTATCCTTGTCTTTCCCCACTATGTAAACTTTCTTTTGCCTTCCATGTTCTGTCCTAACAATCTGAGGAATGTTTCTGTTAATCTGTAACCTGCATTAATGGCAGCATCCCTGGCAGCTTTAAATTTGAATGTCTCCTTTCACAGGCCTCCTAACAAATGCGGACTTCTCATTTTTACTCATTTTACTTATTGGCATTTTACTCATTCAAATATGTTTGGAAGGTGTGGTGGTTACTTAGTCATAAACATATGTGATACCCTATATTCTTTGGTTGTGGTTAACATTTTGCCCATGTTTAGCAGCTACAGAAAAGCACCAGATAGTAGTTGCATTGAAACAACAACCATTCCATTGTAGGTGGGAAGAGCACTTTGTTTTTCTGCTTCCTCACTTTAGTACAGTCTTCTGCGGTCATTTGCAGTTCTCTCCATGTATTATTTGAAGTGTATTATTCCTCTTCCTAAGAATAATAGAATCGATTGCCCCAGTAAAAATTAACTACTTTAGTAACAAGCTTAAAAAAGCTTTGGGTAGATCTCTTCTTAGAAATGAATTGTTTTCTTTTTTCCCCCAGTGGAATGGAGTACAAAATTAAATGTTAGAGTTCTAGAACCTGATCCTAATTCAGAGAATATTGCTGCAATCTCTCAGTCTTCGATGGGTTCAGACTGTAAGTACAGACTCTACTTTGATAATAAGACACGATCTGTTACCTAAATTTTCTTGTAGCATCTTTGAGTCAGACTGCCCTTACATCAAATATTTATTTTAAGCCATTTTGCCTGAAGTAGTGACTGCCCTTTGAGTTCTTACCCCAACAACTTGTTCTGTATGCATTCATACTTATTTCTAGGAGAGCCCCAGTACATCCATCAGTTTTCACCATGCCAACCCCACTCCACATTCAGAATGTCCCAAGAGAGATTTTGCCCCCTGAAGCATTTCAAAAAGCTTTAATCATTCTTCCTCTGTTTTCCTAAAGCACTGTCTACAGATCCCTGTTCTAGTACTTAAGACAAAATACCGCAATAATATTTTGGTGTCTGTCTTCTGCAGTAGGCCCTGGTCTCTGGAGCAGGGATTCTTCCTCTTTTTCATCTCCGTAGCCCTTTCTAACCTGCTTGGCACATAGCAGGCACCCAGTAGATATTTGTTGAGTCAGAGTCTAAAATAATCATGACTTGGACCACTTACTCAATGGAGTAAGTCCCAGGGTTAGTTACTGTGTCTGTCAACCTGAGGCTAGAACTAACCTTTGCAGCAAAATGTTATTGTGTGTTTGTTTTTTCTTTCTAGTGTTTGTATTTAAACCTAGTGAGCCAAGACCATTGTATATTCAAAAGAATATCTCCAAAGAGGACGTCCAGTGGGGAGTATTTGTTCCACGAGATGTACCTGAATCATTCACCTCAGAAGCTTACCAGTGGCTGAACAGATCCCAGTTTTACTTCCTAACAAAGTCACAGGTAACCATCCCACCTCAAAAAGGCAGCCACTTTGTATATGTAAATTTCAGTGGATTTAATATTTGAAAGTAATAGCCCATAACAGGTAGAACAGTTATATTAAAGGATTACTTCCTGGGGATCCCTGTGTGGCTTAGCAGTTTAGTGCCTGCCTTCGGCCCAGGGCGTGGTCCTGAGACCAGGGATTGGGTCCCACGTCGGGCTCCCGGCATGGAGCCTGCTTCTCTCTCTCTGCTTCTGTCTCTGCTTCTCTCTCTGTGTCTCTCATGAATAAATAAATAAAATCTTCTAAATAAATAAAGGATTATTTAGATCCTTCTTTCCTTCTTTCAGGAAGTAATCTAAAATGCTCAGTAGGACAGTATTGCTAGTATATTAGCACCACTTTACTCCACACCTTTGAGGCTCCCTAAGTATTGTTTGCATTATCTGCATGCAAAAAAAAAAAAAAAAAAAGACAACTAAAATAACTTTTTTTTTTTTTTTAAGGTATGAGAACTATTAGATCTTTATTAGGTAGTAAACAACAAGGAATTGACCTCAAGAAAGGGTACCAATTTGGGCCTAGGCAGGATACTCCTTTACAGTTTACCTCAAAATGGTATACACAATTGAAAAATTGAAGTTAAAATAACATTTCTAAATTAAGAAAAACATTTTGCAGAAAAATTTATTTAAAGATTTTATTTATTTACTCATAAGAGCCACAGAGAGAGAGAGGGGCAGAGACACAGGCAGAGGGAGAAGTAGGCTCCATGCAGGGAGCCTGACGCAGGACTCGATCCCAGGACTCCAGGACCACGCCCTGGGCCGAAGGCAGGTGCTAAACCGCTGAGCCACCCAAGGATCCCCTTAAATAAGATTTCTTAGAATAATCTTGTAACTGTCACAGTAGTTACTAAATATGTTTTAAGTCTCCAATTACTTTTCTTTGGACAGAGACATAAATCAAGATGAAAAATTGACCTCATTTTTTAACTATAACATTTTTATTTAGATTTTGCATCGTTAATCTCTCTTTTCAGAGTTTATTGACATTCAGTACGAAGACTCCAGAAGAGAAACTCACACCAACAAGCAAACAGGTATGTTTTAGCCACTCATGGTGCAGACCTACATTACCTCCCTATGGAGATAACCTTATCTGTTTGAATTCAGCTATGAGAACAATGTTCCACTTGCCCTAACATGGAATTAAACGTACACTTCAAAGCTACTTGCCTCTTTGGGCTTATATTTACTCTTCTAAAATGTAGTTTTAATTTATAATACCAAAAATACATGCTTGTGATTTAAGGAGTTATTTAAGACTTTCAGGAAACTTCCTAACCCCACTGCCATTACCCAAAAAAAGATAATCACTTTAAACTCTTTCAGCTTGAGTTTTTATTTGCCTTTCTATCTCTAAGGAAACATGTTTATATTGCTAATTCTGGATTTTTCAGATTAAGTTATTGTCTGTTAAATGATCTGTTCAGGTTGTCCCTCTCTGTCACACTGCCACTTCCCCATCCATGTACATAACACACACAACATTCCTGTTCCCAGTTTTCTTAGTGAAGATAAATCAGGTCAGTATTCATTATAACCATGTAAACACCATTCATAGCTGAGTCATGTAGTAACCAGACAGATTTTCTTCTATTTGCAACTCTGTTTTCTCTGGAGTTAATGATTGCCTTCTTATTTTGCGTAGTTTTCTACTTCTCATCTAATTCACCCCCAAACTCAAGTTGTATAAATCTTCTCTCAGTATTTCAGGTACAGTAGGTATTCTTTCAAGTCTTGAAGGAATATTTCCAAGAGCCGATGACTTGCTTCCGTCTGTACTGATCACTCTATGAATACCTGGTGCACAGCAGGCATCATGGGATCTATATTCACCGTCATTTGGGGATTAATTTCACTTCAATAGTAGATCCCATAGCTTTCCCCTTATTCCATCACTTCCTCGCTTTGGTGAAATACCTTCTGTTAGTGCACGGGAGGCAAATTTAAGACCTTCTGTGTTTGGAAATGTTTCTTTTCTCTCTCACTTGATTGGGTGGTTGAGTTATAAAGGTCTAGGTTGAAAATCATTGTCTCTTAAAACTTTGATGCTATTGCCCGTCTTATAACTTTGGGTGTTACTATTCTTACTCCTCTTCCTTTATCTATAAATTAGCTTTATTTTCCTTTGAAAACTCAATTGAATTCGTTCAATTTTTTTGTTGAACATCTACAGTCTAGAAGCTGTTCTAGATGGTTGGAGTACACACCAGTGAGCAAAACAGGTCTGTAAACTAAGAGTGTTTACAGTTTAGCAGGAAATACAGCAAGCATGAAATAAATGAAATATGTGGTACTTTAGAAAGTGTTAGGAAACTAGGAGTGGAGGATTAGAGGAAAAGGGTGTGGGGTACAGCTTGCCATTTTATGTAGACCAGGCAGAGTAGCCTTGGTGAATAAAATAGACCTTGACTTTTCCTCTGAGTAATAATGTGGAGCCCTAGGAGAGTTTTAATCCAAGAAATGATTATGAGAGAATTGCTGCTTTGCCTTCATTTTGTCTGTTCTTTTTCTGGAACTCTTACTTAGTGCTGGACTGTCTAGAAGAATGCTTTAATTTTTTTTCACCTTTTTTTTTTGTGGGAGATTATTTTTATCATCTTAATCTGCTTTTTTTCTCTTGCATAGTCCCATTTCCATCATTTGTTTTTCATCTGTTTTGGTCTCTTTGATTTCAGAAATTTTCATCAGTCTGATGATTCTTAGCTGTTTTTATTTAAACGTGATCAAAAAAAGCCATTTAGAAGGTCTCTCCTAGGTGGAATTAGTCTGCTGGCCTCCACCATCTGCTTATTTTTGAGAAAGTCTCCAAAGTAATTATTTTTAGGTATTTTTGTCTTAAGCTGATTAGATGGCCCAGATAAAATTCTTCTAAACTCTTGCCTGGAGGATAGCAACCTGGAAGCACCTTCTGTGAGGCACAACTGCCAGCTGTGAAGACACTGTCATCGGCCCCACCAGGCAGTTTAGTTTAAAGACACGCTTTTCCACTCTTCAAAGACTGTACTTGCAGCCCTCTACTGGGGCCCAGAAGGAGATCAAGGAATCTGGGTGCTCTCTAGATAGACTTGCAACGAGGCTACCTGGTTATGTCAGCATTTTTCTGAAGTACTGGTACTATTAGTACCAATTCCTAAGCATTTGCAGGATTCTGCAGTATAAATCGGGTTGCTTCTTGGTCAACTAGCTTAGAATTCTTTGACAAATCTACTAAGTTACATACCACCCTTGAACTTGCTGCCCACCTTCCAACATATTACCCATTTTCTTTCTCTCTCTGGGCTTATGTCCTTTTGAAAACCCATTTGCTGTCATTTGTCACTGGGGAGAAGCAGTAGTGTATATATTGTTCTGTCATCTAAGTGTCCATTGTTAGCTTTTCCCATAACAAGTGGGCTGCTGAGCTTTACTTTACCTGTAAAGTGAAAGAATCATACTAGATAATTTTTAAAGTTCCTTTATTACCTGGCATTATATGACTGCAGTACTTTTCATTGAGTCAAAGGCAATTCCTCCTTTTTATTGAAGAAATTTCCCTTTGTCTTAAATCTTTATAGCTGCTAGCAGAAGAAAGTCTTCCAACGACACCATTTTATTTCATACTGGGAAAACACAGGGAACAGCAGGATGAAAAAATAAATGAAGCTTTGGAGAGTGAACTAATACAACTACCCTTAACAGAAAACATACCTGCAATTAATGAGGTAATTCACAACATGAAACAGATTAATCCATTAAAGCAGCACCTTAACTTAGTTTTTATACAGTCAGTTCGTAACAGATTACTTTTTTTTTTTTAAGATTTGAGAGAGAGGGTTCATGTGTAAGTAGGGGGAGGGGCAGAGGGAGAGAATTTCCAGCAGGCTCCCTGCGAAGCATAAAGACCATAAATGGGGCTCCATTTTACCACCCTGGGATCATGACCTGAGCTAAAATCAAGAGTCAGACACCTAAGACTGAGCCACCCAGGCATCCCTATAACCTAACATTTGAATAATTATTTGTATACTATGCAGTTTTAATATCCAAAACAAATAAGTTTATTATTCCAGATTATTGTGATCTGAACTGACATTTTGCATAAATGTTGGAAGACAGGCACAAATTTTTTCTGGTTTGGTTTTTCTGTGGAGAAAATCTGTTGCATTCAACTGGTGGTATTAAGTCTTTTTAAGTGAAACTTTTTCTCGTTTTTTTAACTCCAGCTTCTTCATACTCCAGCTCATGTTTTGCCATCTGCTTCTTTCCTTTGCTCCAAGTTTGTTAATTCATTGCTGCTGTCTAAGGAGACAAAGAGGTAAGATGTTTTGAAAATATGTTTAGATATTGTTTTGGGAAACAAGATAGTTTGTTATCCTTTATTAGAATATTCTTTCACTTTGACCCTTCAACATCGTGTGGGGTAGGGGTACCGACCCCTGCATAGTCAAAAAATTCACATGTATATTTTGACTCCCATAAATCTTAATTACTAATGTCTGATGGTGCATGGAAGTCTTAACATAAACAGTCAACACACATTTTGCATGTTATATATGTTATATATGTTATTCTTACAGTAAAGTAAACTAGAGAAATTAGGAAAATCATACAGAAAATACATTTACAGTATTGTATCAAAAAAATCCATGTATCAGTGGATCAGTACAGTCCAAACCTGTGTTGTTAAAAGGTCGACTGTATTTCTCTTTATTTTAGCTTTAAAATGAAGTTAAAGGATATAGGACTGTTAAGCCAAGTTTACTTTGTAATAACCCATTCTGAAGAGCACTCAATAACAAGATTTTTCATTTACTTTGTATAGTTGTATTTCTACACAGGTATCTTAAATCAGGAAGTTGCTATTTATAAACATTTTTGGATAATTATATTTTATTCATTTTATTATGAAAGTGGTAAAGAAATCCCAGAAGATGTAGATATGGAAGGAAAAGAAAGTAATGATTCAGATGAAGAAAATGATTTTACTGAAAAGATAGAAGATACAAACAGCACAGATTTGGGAGAAGACCTTATACATCAGTTGTCAAAATCTGAAGAAAAAGAACTAAGAAAATTCAGGAAAGTAGACTACAGCTGGATAACTGTTCTCTGAGCATTGGAGATAGAGGAAGATTCTTGCACTTTGTGATTTTTTTTTATTATATGTTGATATTTCAAAAACATCTACTTTATTTAATGTTATTTCTCTTAAAATATCAAATATGAACAGGCTTTACTTTTTAAATACAAATCTGTGTTTGTATCATGCTTTATAGTGTTGCTGGGTGCATTGATATAGACACCATCTCATTTTTATTTTGAGTTACATCAGCCTCAGAAATAGCAAGGCATATTCTTCACAAGCAGTTGCAGCATATGTCCTCTTCTCTGCAATTTGGAGATATAAAATGTTTGGAAAATCACAAGTTTTTGTTGATGATATTGTTAAGTTGGTGTTAAACCAAGATTTCTTTGGTGGCCAAATAGGACCTGAACAGATATGATGTTTTCTGTAGGCCTACTTCATACCTCTTAGTGTATTTATTTTCTCAAAGAGAAATTTAGAGAAATAACTTGATTACGTGGTATTCCACAGGATATTAAATAATATAGGCTTCCTAAAATCTGAAAAATTTTAAATTTAAATCATTTGTCCCCAAGCCTTTCAGATAAGGACTTATCTACTCAACTTATAATTTTTAGGAAAGCCTGGAAGATATAAGAAGATATTATTTTGTCAGTGTTATGGCTATGTATATTGAGTCAAAGAACAATTATTTTTTTTTTTTGAGAAAAACTACTTTTTAACCAAAGTCCCATTGCTAGTAGAATAAAATACAAGTCTCAATATTTTATTTAAGTACTGAGGTGGCTACTTTTAACCATTTAGTATTTGGAGCTTTCTTATTCTATTAAATTAATGTTAAAGAGTTAAAAACAGTAAAGTACACAGTTTTACAGTCCCAAGATAGTGTGACATAGGAAGACCCTGAACTCACCATGTCTTCCACAGACACACCAAATCTATAACTGTTTCTGGAGCACTTCCTCCAGAAGAACAACAGAAAGCTGACTGAAGAGCTTCTGCACAGCAAAAGATAGACCACACACAGAACAGTGAGCGACATGGTAACGAAGAGAACACCTACCCCCAGCACTACAAATGGCAGTGAGGTGGGATAGTACTGAGGAACCACATGCAAGCAGATTCGTCTGCCCTGGGGCACAGGGGAAAACGCCATGGTTTAAAAGAGCAACTAAAATAGTATTCAGCCCTCAAACTCTGCCAACAAATAAGAGAACTGCTGGAACTCTGTCCATGTTGGAGGGCCTGGTGAGTGCCACAGTTTTATGTTCTCTCTCCATATTTGATAGCATGAATGGGAGCAAGGTCAGGGCACCCGAACCAGCCTACCACTTCAATGAGCCCCAAACCCCTAGCCCCAACCATCTCACCAAAGTGACCCTAGTGTGGTGTACACTGGACACCCCTGTTCAGTGCTTATTACTCCAGGTATCTTGCCAAGGTGACATGGGTATAAACGGTGCCCTGGAACACTAAGCCCAGCCATCCTACCAGGGCAGCCCCAGCACAGAGAGCATTGGGATCCCCAGCACATGCCAGCCAGCCAAAGTCAACAGGCATACACAGTTGGTACAGAAGATGACCATACACAAGACCATTCCTTCCAGTTTAGAAGTAGCTAATCCACTTAATTCATAGAAACTTACACAGAAAGCCAAGCAATATGAGACAGGATGTGAATAAGAGGTAGTGGAAGGGGGAGGTAGGCAGGGGGATGGGGTGACTTGGGTGATGGGCACTGAGGGGGGCACTTGATGGATGAGCACTGGGTGTTATATGTTGGCAAATCGAACTTCAATTAAAAAAATAGATTTTAAAAAAAGGGCAGCCTGGGTGGCTCAGCGGTTTAGCGCTGCCTTCAGCCCAGGGCCTGATCCTGGAGACCTGGGATGGAGTCCCACCTGGGGCTCCCTGCATGGAGCCTGCTTCTCCCTCTGGCTGTGTCTCTGCCTCTCTCTCTCTCTCTCGCTTGCTCTATGTCTCTCATGAAGAAATGAATAAAATCTTTTAAAAAAATGTTTTAAAAGACAGGAATATACTCCAAATGAACAAGATCAAACCCCAGAGAACTAAATGAAATGGTGATAGGCAATTTGCCAGATAGAATTTGAAGTAATGATTATAAAGATGCTCACCAAACTGGAGAGGAGTAAAATAACTTCATTAAAGAGAAAATGGCAGGGTAGGATGGGAGAGTACGGTCTTTAAATCACTTGGTCCTCCCAACTTACCTAGATAATTTTAAAATCACCCTGAACACCTACGAATTCGACCTGAGATTCAAAGATTTTATTCATGATAGAGAGGGAGTGGAGGTCAGAGAGGCAGAGGGAGAAGCAGGCTCCATGCCCACAGCCTGTCACAGGACTCGATCTGGGGTCTCCAGGATCATGCCCTGAGCCAAAGGCAGGCACTAAATCACTGAGCCACCCAGGGATCCCCCTCGACCTGAGATTTAAAGAGGGAACAGCTGGACGCTGCAGAGAGAAAGGTGTTCGCTTCTAGGAAGGTGGGGGATGGGAACCAAGTGGAGGAGGCACCCCTGCTAGGAGCTGGCCTCCAGTCTCCCCGGAGTCACTAGCAGAGGAGGGGGCCCCGGGGATAGCGCACTGTACACACGGCGATCTCGGTAAAGGGCTGGAGCGTGTACCCGGGGGGCCTTGGAGAAGCAGGTGGGTCAGGTGGGGGCTCCGGGTGGAGGGGGCTGAGCCCCGATCCCTGCAGGGGAGGCGGCCCTGGGAGCACAGGTCCAGCGACACAGGGCCCCAGATCCCAGGGCACCAAGTGGACACAGCCCCTGATCCTGTGCTCCTGCCGGGACAGGTGGAGGCGGGGAGGACACAGGACAGCGGGGACCCCCATGCCCCCAGGTGCCCCCAGGGGAGACAGGGAGGGCACAGGACAGCGAGGACCCCCCCTGCCCCCCGGGCGCCCCCAGGCTGTGCAGGTCAGCAGCCCGCCGCCCCAGGAGCACCTAGGCCAGTGCGGATTGGGAGACTGCTGGTGGTTACTGGGAGAGCTGACTCCAGAGCTGCAGACCTGGCTGCCATCAGTGGTTGTTCCTCCTGGTGTCACTGTGTGCCTGGCGGGGGGGGGGGGGGCAGGGGACAGAGACCTCACGGGGTCAACAGCACCTAACGACCTCGGCACCCGACGGGTGAGGGGGGCATCTCCCCAGGTACACACACCTGAGAGCACAGCAGGACCCTGCCCCAGAAGACCAGCTGGAAGGACAGGGGAAGAGCAAGTTCTGGACCAAGAAGAGCTGGAAGGCTCCAGGACCAAGGAAAATAGTATATAGGGTACCCCCCAATTTAATAAAGTCATGAAAGAGGAGAAATCACAACCAATACCAAGGAAATACAAACGATTTAAAAAACATTATGAGCAGATTGCCTAGCTAATAAATTAGGCAATCTAGAGGAAATGGGTGCATTTCTGGAAAACCACAAAATACAAAAACTGGAACAGGAAGAAATAGAAAACCTGAACAGGCCAATAACCAGGGAGGAAATTAAGCAGTTATCAAAAACCTCCCAGGACACAAAAGTCCAGGGCCAGATGGCTTCCCAGGGGAATTCTATCAAACGTTTAAAGAAGAAATAATACCTATTCCACTAAAGCTGTTCCGAAGGATAGAAAGGGATGGAGTACTTCCAAACTCATTCTGTGAGGCCAGCATCACCTTGATTCCTAAACCAAGGACCCCACCAAAAAGGAGAATTCTAGACCAATATCCCTGATGAACACAGATGCAAAAATTCTCAACAAGATACTAGCCAATGGGATCCAACAGTACATTAACGAGCTTCTTCACCATGACCAAGTGGGATTTATCCCCAGGATGCAAGGCTGGTTCAACACTTGTAAAACAATCAACATGTAGATCACATCAAGAGAAAAAATAACCATATGATCCTCTCAATAGATACAGAGAAAGCATTTGACAAAATACAGCATCCATTCCTGATCAAAACTCTTGAGAGTGTAGGGATAGAGGGAACATTCTCAGCATCTTAAAAGCCATCTACAAAAAGCCCACAGCAAATATTCTCAATGGGGAAACACTGGAGGCCTTTCCTCTAAGATCAGGAACAAGACAGGGATGTCCACTTCACCACTGCTATTCAACATACTACTAGAAGTCCTAGCCTCAGCAATCAGGCAACATTCAAACTGGCAAAGAAGAAGTCAAACTCTCCCTCTTCGCAGATGATGTGGTACTTTACCTAGAAAACCTGAAAGACTCCACCCCAAGATTGCTAGAACTCACACAGCAATTCGGCAGTGTGGCAGGATACAAAATCAATGCCCAGAAATCAGTGGCATTTCTATACACTAATAATGAGACTGAAGAAAGGGAAATTGAGTCAATCCCATTTACAATTGCACCCAAAAGCATAAGATACCTAGGAATAAACCTAACCAAAGAGGTAAAGGATATATACCCTAAAAACTACAGAACACTCCTGAAAGAAATTGAGGAAGACACAAAGAGATGGAAAAACATTCCATGCTCACAGATTGGAAGAACTGTGAAAATGTCAATGTGACCCAGGGCAATTTACACATTCAGTGCAATCCCTTTCAAAATACCATGAACTTTTTCAGAAAGTTGGAACAAATCATCTTAAGATTTGTGTGGAATCAGAAAAGCCCCTGAATAGCTAGGGGAATATTGAAGAAGAAAACCAAAGCCGGGGGCATCACAATGCTAGATTTCAGGTTGTACACAAAGCTGTGGTCATCAAGTCAGTGTGGTAGTGGCACAAAACACACATAAGTCAATGGAGCAGAACAGAGAATTCAGAAGTGGATCCTCAACTCTATGGTCAACTAATATTCAACAAAGCAGGAAAGACTACCCACTGGAAAAAGGACAGTCTTTTCAATAAATGATGCTGGAAAAATTGGACCATTCTCTTACACCATACACAAAGATTGACTCAAAATGGATGAATGATCTAAATGTGAGACAAGAATCCATCAGAATCCTGGAGGAGAACACAGGCAACACCCTTTATTGAACTTGGCCACAGCAACTTCTTGCAAGATACATCTATGAAGGAAAGGGAAACAAAGGCAAAAATGAATTATTGGGACTTCATCAAGCTAAAAAGCGTCTGCACAGCAAAAGAGACAGTCAACAAAACTAAAAGTCAACCTACAGAATGGGAGAAGA